CGCTAGCGACTGGTAGCTCGACTGATCGCGCGGGACCGTCCGTGGCGGCACCCATAACTAGCGCGGCCTCCTCGACCGATCGAGCGACCAGTGGCGCGATCAGTCGAGTGACCAGTCGAGCGACCAGTCGCTAGCGACCGGTCGTGGACTATGAAAGATGCCATTGACTCACTCGTGGAAGCCTAGCTATTAAAAGTAACCGGATTCCCGATTGGCATGGATCCATTTGCCTTATTGTTAGCTACATCGGGTCAATATTTGGAATTATTCAAAAATGCGAAATATGTCACTCCGACCAGCAGAAATTGGAAAATCGTTATAAGTGATTATTCCGATAACACGAACTTTCTTAGGCTGTAAAGATTGCGTCCAATCCAATCGACAGCGATTCCTTCGAGACCATCAACGTCGTACTTCTGGACAGTCTGAGGGAATGTGCCGTCTAAGTCCAGCCTTTCAATCGAGTTCGATCCAACATCTGCGTAGAAAATGCGGCGTTCCTGGAATAACACTTTCCAAAATCGGAAAGACTTGACCTTTTTCATCACTTCTTCTTTGGTGAAGTACACAGGAGTCAAAATAAATACTGTGAGAATGAATAGATCAATGAGAGGACCAAATTTTTTGCCATGGACATCATGCTGCATTTCTCCTTCCTCTTCACGACTGCCTACAAATCAACGACTGTGTCATCTTAGTTTTCCTAATCTTTAACCGAAAAGGGCATGCAATGTCGTTACCGAGGTTGATATCTCATATTCATCCGTTTACTTTATCTAGTAATAATAAACATCAATGGGATCAGGGAGTCACTCAAGGGTGGGTTCTGTGGTACATAATCGTGAACCGACTAGTGTAGCAACTCCGTCAATGGTTGGCCCAAAACAATTCACAATTGAAGAATCTCTCCAGTTCCAGCACAAGCCTGCACAGCCGTCAAATGCTTGGCGCATTCTGACGAGTTTCTCACTCATTGTCTAAGACCAATTTCATAACTTCAAATCGAGGGAATTGCAAAGACATGGAGCTACCAGTTCTACATAGTTTTAGGATCTGATCGTGACAAGTAACGTTCTTATAGCGGATATAGTCTAAAAAATGTCGCGAAAGACGCCAGCAACGCCTCTTTCTGGGGCTCCGCTTACTTTTGGACCTGTTGGCCTACGATGGGAGGAACTTGTTCTAAACCACGAAAGCATATGACAAGATCGAAGTGCATTCGAATGTCTAACATTTCGACCGAAGACTATCAATAATAGTGTAGGATGAAATATGATATTGCTTCAAACATCCATAGTCCAAATACGGAATAGAAGACCATTTCTATTCCTTGATTGGTGTGCCACTTGAGATTACATTCAAGTTTTTTAGTTCCCAACGGTGAGTTATTTGTGCTGAATTGTCGCTTGACCTGTTTTAAAATGGGGTTCTTTTAGAATCCACTCAATTTCCTACATGCTTTGTAGATGCTGGATAAGGCTCTTTCTCTCAAGACACCATCAGCAACAATGCTATCAGTTTGCATATATGCAATCCATAAATAAAAATTGTTACCCTCACCATTATATCGACATCGAGCACTGCGGTTTTCTGCAAGCCAGCCTTTTGAAGTTCGAAAGAGCCTCCACTGAGTGAAATGTTCCAGATGGATTGACCATGTGCAAAGAACAGCCACATAGGATCTGAAGAAGCACGTCATATTTCACTTTGGGTAGACTTTGCTTTTTTAGAATAGATAGGAGTAAATCTCAGGTTATAGATTACAGACAAATCCCAGACACAGATTATTACTTCTACCAGAGTCCTGTAGACTGTTTCGAGAAGGTGGCACAGTAGCGGAATGGGTGGCGGTACTTCTCCCCCAGCGGCAGTGGCTATGCGGTGGCTACCGTGTCCTCCACCG